AAAATCCGAAATATTATATTATATGAATTTTTAAAATACTCCGATTGGTTAAAAGCGACTTTTTCAATAGTATATCTCGATCACAGCCCTTGACCGGAAAAGATTGGGTCCGTTCCGGTTACGTAGACCCGACTATCGTGCGAACGGATCTCTTCATCTCTCGAAAGGTGAAAAAAGATAGTGAGCGCCCTTTACTCTCAAGAGTATTGAATGACCGGCCAGCAGCAATAAGTGGTTTTTCGGTTCAAGGAATCTGTAAGGTAATACCTAAGGCCGTTAGGGATTGTTAGGACACATAGAGAGAAGCTGTAAGCCTACCGGAACTCTTCGTTACCAAACGTTACAGAGTGCTCCGTTTATAATCTTATTTTTTATTGGCGTAGACACCGTTTACTTCTAGCCGAGTTTACAACAACGCGCCAGTCGTTCTTTCTTTTCGATATATGGCGCCAATTGGAGATTTCAAGTGCAGTCAGATCCTTCTCCACCTGGTATTTCCAAAGGAGTGGAGTTCTTCCTCTTCCTCTGCTTTCTCCGGACGACATGACTTTTTACTCCGGATACTTCAGGATAATAAATAACGAAAATGATAGGGAAAATAATGAACTATACTTTAAGTCAAAATTCTAAGCTTAGAAGAGTTTAACGGGGTTTCCGCAGGGTAGGGTCCTCTCCGCTCTATTGTTTAACTTCTATTTTCGCCTAGATACACTGCTGGAGAAGATACTGACATGTCAGAACAACGCATTGCGGACTATGACAGCCTCTTGATGCTCCCCGTCGAACAACCTCAAAACAGCTTACGGTTAAGGAACATAATACATTCCTCTCCAAGCAGTCATGTATTCGCAGAATAGAATCGCTTACTAGGAACAACAAAAGAACTTTCCTTTAATATGTAGACGAGCTACAACAATACATCGGAGCAATTTCGAACGGAACAAGCTTCATAGGTGTACTGAACGCCATTTATAATGAAAATCTTACCACTCTCGATGACTCTTCCTGGTGAATCGTGTTCTTGGAGGCGAAACAGCAGTCATCGTAGACCGGAAGTTTGAGTTGACACCGCCTTCGCTTTAGTCCGACTCGTCGAAAAAGCTCGTTTCTTCAACCTAGTTCTTAATTATGTAAATGCATATAACGGAACAGTTTATGATATCAGTGAAATTCTTTATTCCTGTGAAAGTACATTTGATGCCATTATGTATGGAAGTAGACTTCTTTTGCATGGCCACCACAACCACGCTTGCAGAAGTCCAGACGCTGATCCAAATTTTCGATCCAATATTCGTGCGAAGTTCATGAATTGCCGCTTGCTTTTTGGCATAGACCTTGACGTAGCCCCATAGGAAACAGGCTAACGGCGTCAAATCGCACGACCAAGGGGCTAATTGACTGGGCCATTTCGTGAGATAACACGTTCACCAAACTTGGTTTTCAAGTCCATATCATCCAATTCGAGCCATTGAGCGGTAGCGCTTCCCATTCACAGTAACGTGCCGGCACAATGACGCCGCCGGCCAATGCAATGGTGACTAATGCAGTACGTGTGGATTGCTGCATGATGGATATTTTGAAATGAGCCTCATATCTGAAGATGATTTTTCGATGAAAATCCGGCATCAAGCCTGTTTCACGAACATACCACGATTCTGGTGGTCAAAGGACTTTAGTTCTTGTGTCAATTTGATTTTGTAATGATGTAGGCCAAGATCTTTTCACAAAATTAGGCACAACGACGTCACATAGATGCCCAACGTTTGAGAACGACTTGTGAGAGACTGATAGGGTTCTTCTTCAATTGATGCGCTAGCGGCAGCAGTATTCTCGACACAACGGAAACTTCTTTGTCTCACTCTCACGGGAACATTTTGTACTGTGCCTGTGGATTCAAATTTTTCCACTAGACGCACAATTGTGGATCTGTCAGGACGATTATAACGACCATAAAATGGACATAGTGCTCTTAAAATTAATTCCACTGATTCCGCATTTCGGTGAAGTAGCAAATCTTACTGAAGAGATATGTATGTCGTTGTTTGCTGTGCCTATCGATCCACTTTTGTAGCGTCGCTATTGAAACCCCGTTATATCCATCCATATCGTAACCAGTCTTATATTTATTATGGAATTAAATAGTTTTAATTTTATGAAATTTCCTTCTAGCATAACTAATCCCTTTTAAGCATATTTATTAAATTATAAAAGTAATTGCATATATTTTAACCCACAGAACGTCCACTCTTGATACATAAAACCAAATTCGATATACGTCAATATATGCTGCTCTCCATTAGTGATTGTACCCTATCTATATGGTTATATCGAGATTGTTACTTGCGCTTCAGCTCACAGGAGTTCACCATCGATGATCTACGTGAATCGATACACTTAACGAATAATTCGGTACAGAAGCGTTATAAGAACAAACCAAATCGTGATATACGTTTGCCGAAGAACAATATGTGGTCGTTGGAACAATTCAAAGTCTATCTAAAACATTCGAATGCCCCCGACAATATATGGGAAGAACGTATCTATCCGGGTTTTAAAGAGAATCTTATCGCTGTTGTGATGGCCAGTTTGGAGGAGACTGATTTTGTGGAAAATTCGTTCGAATTGTATGGTTGTGATTTAATGTTAGACGAGCAATATAATCCGATATTAATTGAAATCAATTCTACGCCGGATCTCTCGCCATCCACCGACGTGACGGCACGTATTTGTCCTTTGGCTTTGAAAGATTTGGTGAAAGTCATTGTCGATTTGCCGCGTAATCCACTTTCGCCCACTGGCAATTTTGAACGTGTCTACGAGGTTAACTATAAGATCAAAAGAGATTTCGATCCCGAAGTTGGTTTAGACATTTGTGGCAAAGCAATGACACTATTCAAACAAACAATAATACCGCAAAAGAAGACAACAATTCGTTTGCCGACGAAGTTGATTAAAAAAACAGAACATGCAATAAAAGTGCCATTGAAGCGTTTGAGGGGACCAGCTGCACAGGTGAGCTCGTTGATGTCTTCATTTTACTTTATTATCCCGCTGAGTGTTGTGTCAGTTTGGAGTATTATTGAAAGAAAATTGTAGTGCTTTCTTACTTCGATCAGAAGGCTTACTGAGTTTAAGTTTTAGGTGTAGATGTGGCCTTTTAGATATATTAAGACTAAAGAGAATTTGTTTTTTGGGATTAAGCTTCAATAGAAGCGAAGAGTACTTGTCAGACGAGGTTTTTAGTGTCCCATATATATAAAACTGAATGGCCCATAAACCAGAGCTGTCGGAACGCTGACTCATCGTGACTTTAAGATATAAGTAGAGGTACTGCTCCGTAGGACAGCTTCCTTCAGAGTGTTGTGGATTCACTCCGACAGCAGAGTTGTAATACTGATCTTGAGCTCGCTGACTGGAGGTTAAAGACTTGTCAAGGAGTGCTTGACATTCTTATTAACAGTATTAAGCTACTTTGGTATTCTAATTGATTGGCCGATTATATTGGTAGAGATGCTACCCTTAACCCTATTTCATTAGAGTGGTAACGAGACGGTACTCCACTGTCCTCTTGCGCACTAGCCTTAGATCTGTGGACCCGTGAGCTTGGCAAATGTTAAAAACCAATACTTCAAACTCTTTTGGCCCAAAGTAGAACGAAATAGGCCTTTTGAACTACGTACTTTTAGCACGGTGCAAATCGCCGCCGTGATAGCTGTTCCGACACTGTCTAATACGCCCACATATGGTGAGGTTACATATGTAATTTTTCGAACTCATATTGTCAAAGCTGTATGGAAGAAGGTTAAGTGGAATTGTGTTGTCTAGTACAGGGTTTTCGGGAAAGTAAGAGGAAGAGTCAGGACAAACATTTTCGCGTGAGGGTTTTCTGTGATCGGTGTAAGCCGAAAATGTAGCGTTCGTTAGATCAGAGGTATGCGATTAAATTTTGTGTGAAACTCGGCAAATCTGCGACAAAGACATTTGATATGATCAAACAGACTTACCCAGATGTCGCTTTAGCAAGAAGTGGTGTGTTTCGGTGACACCAGGCCTTGGTCGAGGGCCGGGAAGAGGTCGCTGATGATGACTGTGCTGGGAAACCTGCGACTTCGACAAACACCGACAATGTGACTCGTGTACGCACAGTTTTGAATACGGAACGTCGACTAAGTATTCATTCAATTGCCCACATGTTAAATTTATCAAAGTCTGTGGTTCATAACATTCTGACGGAGTACTTTAACATGCGCTAGGTGAGACAGGACATCGCAGACGATTGGAAGTTGCACCACGTCGACGCCGCGGCTCACATCGCCTTTCTTGTGAACAGCTACCTAACCAAAGCCGGCATCCCAACGCTTCCGCAGCCGCCCTACAGCCCAGAACTTTTCACTTCATTAATTTATAAATCCGGGAGATCCGTATCTAGTAGTTTTTGAGAATCATGAAGGATCGGCGTTCACAGCTGTCACCTTTGGTGACATGATCTGCCCTATGTTTTCTAAAGCTCAGGTTTAAGTTCAAGTTCAAAATTAAGAATGGTAACTTACTTTAAGTCCAGATCCTGCAGTTATTTATCTTACCTACTTCTTTTGGGTAGAAAACTATGTAATTACTTATATAGTATTGTCTTGGATCTGTGAGGATCTTAGCTTATGCTTTTTTCTTTCAACGAAATGCGCTGAAACTCATAACTTTCTCTTGTCATTCCAGAAAAATAAAGCACAAATCGACGCTGGTGTAACTGAACCCAAAATTCTTAAGTCCGCCGCTAAAGAAGCGCTAGCACTACGCTACACCGCCCCAAAGTAATGCGAAGAAAGAGGCGAAATTGCTTTGTTCAATAACGAATGTTCAAAAGTTTATTAAGACACGCATGCCATTTTATAACAGTTAAGAACAAATTAACTAAGTGGAACAATAATAAAATTTTTATATAATATAACAATCGTAACTTTGACATACATATACATACATGTATTCGTGTGTATACCATATTCTTAGCTTTTTGCTGTGGCATTTGTTACTAAAGCTGGCTTTTGATAGTGCGCGGATGAGCTGCGTGAATGTTCCGCTACAGTTAAACTTGCTGCAGAGGGCGCAACGCCTACCAACGCCATCGGCTTCTTCTTGCAAACGTAAACGCTGCCAGCGGACTTGGAGTTGCTGGCGTTAGCGGCGAGTCGGGCGTTATGACGCCTGGAGCGCCGCCAAGTCACAAGCTTGCGTCCGACCGTGCGTATGCTGGCTGAAGCCGCCATTTTTGCTGCCAGTTGTGAGACCTCAGTCGTGTTGGATTTCGTTTGTTTCGCCAGCAAGGACTTGATTGATTTTTCGCTTACGCTTGTGGTCAAATCATGCGCTACACCACCACTGCGTGCCACCTGTTTTGACCCTTGCGTTTGTGACAGTGTCATTGACTGTGGCTGTACTTTGAACCGACGTAACATTTCCACAATATTATCGACGCTTTTACTTTTGTTCGCGTGCGCCGAAACACGGACCGTGGCCGGTTCTGCGTCGATTTGATTGAGCAATTGGTTGTTGACCTCGGCCGATGTTGGCAGCGCACATTTCTTAATAATAAATTTAAAATTTTTATCACTTTCATTATTCGTACAGCCCGCAACGACGGCAGTGTTAAGGCGTGGTCCACAACTGCGATGCCGCTTCATAAGCGGTATAGTCACCTCGTGATCTTTAGCTGTTGCCGGCATGGTATTCGCTTTACAGGAGAGATTCGTGACGGACTTGCGGCGTATGCCTACCTGTGTGCGTGGCGTTTTCAAGAGATTCGGACAGATCATAGCAGGCGTTTGCGGTGTTATATGATATTTGCGACGTGCATTTTGCACCATTTGCATTGGTGTGGGTGAAGTGTGTATCACGGCACCCGAGGCGGTGATACCGCCAACGAGACCGCCACTTATGCTGCTGCGATTGCTATTACCCGCCTCCATTATATACTTCTCAACGTACTCGGTAGCATTAAATGTGGGCATAGCTTTGTGTACATTCGAGATGGCTGGCGTGATGGTGGCACGATGTCTGTAATTGTGGCCGCTTAGTGTTGGACGTTCGCGTTGCTGATGCGGATAATGATGGTGATGATGATGATGTGGCGGTTTAGTGACAATTTGCTTGCCTTTCACGAAGAGATTGAGTCCCATATAGGCTGGTGTTGGTGGCACTACTTGGCGGTAGATAAGTTCAAAATTACCCATATCTGCCTTGGGATCTAAGCGTCGATCAATTGCAACTGCGAATATAGAATGCGAGAAATTAGGAAAGCACTCAGTCAGATAAGCCAAAAGGTAAATATTTAGTAATAAACTCATAATGATTGGACTTTAACTTTAACTACATATATCTCTATCTTTTATTTTTTAATAATATATAAGGCATAGTAAAAATAAATACACTAGTTACACTAGTTCATATTTCTTTTTTTACCGTGATGTTAGAGGGTTTTGGATTGCTAAAACAGAAAATGATATTAAAAATTTCCTAAGACGTAGGATTTTTTGTGTTGTATTCAAGAGGTGTAGGATTCAAACCACCACCACAAATCATTCCCCACAGACGGGAACAGGTAGAAATCACTTTGTGCCAGGTCCGGTTTTTTAGTATGAATCTTATCTTTCCAACGCACTTATAAAGGGTGATCCAAGTAGGGGTACTTTTTAATATCCTTTTTTTTGAGAGATCAGATCATACTATTCACATCACTATCACCCATCTTGAGACCCTCCCTGCATTTATTACACGAAGGCCGTGGCGAGTCGATTCGGTGCCGTTCACAGCAACTCATATTGACGTATAGAACGACTTGGTTTTTACGTTGAGATCTTAAATTGAAACCAGATAAAATACAGCTTATGCAAGAACTAAAGTCGTCCCAAGCCACATCGCTTCGGTCTAGGGGCTCTTGAAAAGTTCCAAGAAGATCCAACGTTTTCAAGTCAAGTTTTATTCACCGATGACGCTCATTTCCGGTACAATGGGTATGTAAATAAGTAATATTGCCGCCTTTGGGACGAAGAGCATTCTTCAAAAATGTCATATTATCCAGAGAAAAACAACGTTTTGGTTTTGTTTGTGGGCCTGTGGAATCATCGGTCCATATTTCATCAAAAATGATGTCAATTGGGTTTCAATAAGACGGCGCCAATTTCAAGTTCACACCGATTTTTTCCTTAGGGAACGTCTAAAGTCTATGCGGACAACACCTATTCTACTCCCTTCATAACAGTACAAACATTATCAGTACCAGTACTTATAACAATATAATGTGAAAAAAAATTATAAAACTCACCTTTTATCACATCCTCCAGACATTGTGGGCACATACGTGCTGTCACACTGGTTGTCGCACCCAAATCGGGACTTGAATTAATCTCAATTAGCCAAGGATAGAAATTCTCGCATATCATAAAATCTGCACCGAACAACTCAAACGTATTCGGACGACGATCCATATTTTCCTGCGACGACAACATTGTGCCCACAATGGCTTTCTTCATGCCCGGATAGATGCGTTCCTGCCACATATCTTGTTTGCCGATTTGACGCAGATACGCTTGAAAAGAGTAACAATCCCACATGTTCTCTATGGGCAAACGTTTATCGCGTTTACCGTTGTTGTACTTCTTCTGTATGGCATGATTGGTCAGATGTACAGATTCATGATGATTACTCAAGCTATACTCTTGCGAGCTAAAGCGCAGATAACTCTCCTTGTACATCCAGACGACCAGCGGCTGTACATTGGTTATGAGAAACCATTGGCGTATATCGAACTTTGTATGGTGAATAATGAGCGGTCTTTCTGCAAAAGAAATTGTAGGTAAGTTTTTACGAAATCTTACGATTTTATAGCTATATATGTATGTATATACATATACTATATTTTAAAAGGTTTATGTGTTAGTATAACTGTGCTATATAAGCACGCTGTTAAGTGAGCGCCGTCAGGGACACTGTAAAGTAAGGTTATGTTTATGTTTTTTTGTTGCTATCTGTTGGGTTGTTGTGACGTCAGTGCAAAGAGTGGGTTGGCATTTGTTGAATGCTCACGCAACTTTATGGTGTCATGACAGGAAATTAGGCTTATTGCCAACCTGTTGAAGCCGAACCATTAAAATTGAAAGTTCATTGATTTTGTGCACCCGCCAACATTCACCACCATCCCATACATACATATATATGTACTTATATTTTTTTGTTGTTGTTTTTTGTATATACACTTCGTTGTTTTTCGGTGGCCGCGTGCTGAAGCCAAATCGTATTGTGTAGGGTCGTTGGCAATGTTCGAGTTTGAGGGCTCATGTTGTAGTATTTGATATTTTTAGGCATTCGTGCCTCTAAGTACATACATATGTATTGTATGTTATTATGCTTATATTTTATTATAAACTATACCATATTCATTTGGCTCGTATTGTGTTTATTTTTAAACGAGCGGTGAAAGTACGCTTTGTCGTCCTCTTCGTTTCGTCCTATGGGTATGTGAACTCACGTGTAAGCATAACGCCCATATATGACACCAAAACATACCTATTTACTTATATATAGCTTGTAAATACGTGAGCATGCAAGATTTTCCCCACGCGTGCGTGTATTTTTACCACATTGAGCTTTTATTTGCTATTCTTAGCCATTTTAATTTTTATTATATTTAGTTCCACTGAAAATCGCATGCGAATTTGTAGGTTGGAAATTAAATAGAAAATGTGAAGTCATAAATTTTTTATTATGATATGTAGGCAGATTTTCATCGACGAATTTTATGCGCTTCCTGGCGATTAAATTCGGTTACGCATTGTGAAATGGAAACTGTTCTTATTGCATAAGACATTCCATAACTTGAGCTCTGCTATGCCATTTTACTTGTCACGTTCTATGAAAGCCGGTTTTACATTAACTAAATAGATCCGATTTTTTCTGGCCAGGATTGGATTATGAGGAAATATAATCGCCAGGTGCTAACAGTCTCCGGGAAATCGGGCACTTAAAGGATCCCGGAAAAGAACATTCCGAAATCCTCACTTACTTCGACTGCATCACTGAACCACAAACTTCGGCAAATCGGATACATTGTATCAGAGATGAATATTCCGAAATCCCCGATCACTTTAACTGCATCGCTTGACATCAATTTAGGCCACTGCGTCGCGGAGCATACTCCTAGTGTCATCTTCTCTGCTCAGATACCCCCGAGGAATATGTTTGGTGGGACAGAGTAGCTGGAGAAGAGGCGGAGTGAGCTTTTTTACAAATGGATCAAAGCACCATAGTAAGGTTGTATGGGGACCTCTCAATCAACTGTTGTTTCGGACTGCTGTATTGTATATTTTCTAGCAGAAGTGACTAGCTGGAGAAGAGGCGCAGTGAGTTTTTTCACGGAAGCATCGAAGCTCAAGGAGATGGTTGGAGGGGGAGCTCTCAATCAACTCTTGTTTCAGACTGCCGGACGACTGTAGTGCCTTTCAAGCAGAAGTGAGTAGCTGGAGAGGAGACGCAGTAAGTTTTTTCACGGATGAATCGAAGCTCAAGGGGAAGATTTGAGGAGGAGCTCTCAATCAATTCTTGTTTATGACTGCCAGAACACTGTAGTGTCTTTCAAGCAGAAGTTTCAGTGGCGGACTGCATCTTTTTTAGGAAACTATGCATCCACTGCAATAGCACAGCTGCCATTTAGGCCTTCAACATGCTTACAGGAAGTTAAGTCTAGTCAATGAATGCATTATTTCACTTTCATCCCATCAGGGTTGGAACGACCAGTTGCTCTCCTTCGTGTAATTGGCCGATGGTTCTATGGGTCTCGTGCAAGCTCAGCAAGCGTTGGTTGGCGACCAGAATTTGTAGAATTGGGAAAGTCTTTGGCCTTTTTTTTGGAATACAAAAGGTTCATTGAAATAATAGCTCTTGGTGAGGTTCAGAACGCTGCAATGAGAGATGTTCTAACTTGGCACCGTTCCATTGGCCTTCACGCGGTGAGGCTAAGGATTTTGGATGCAACTTGCTTTGCGCTGGCATCACAACTGACAGGCGTCTTTAGCTGTCCAAGTACAATTATTCCTTGCCTCTCAAAAAATCAGCTTACTTTTTAACCTAACATAACCTAACTCTCTTTGGATCAGTAAGTGTGAGTAATATGAGACCTTTTATACAATATTAAAGCAGACGACCTTCCAAAATTGTGAGTCTGTGAATATTTGTATCAGCTTCAGATACAAATTTTCTAATTCTAAGGTCTCTTTATTATTTGTGAGCGATTTTTAAAGATTTCCAGTTGTAAGTGATAATAATGTAGGATAATCTTTTGAAGTTGCCGCAATATAGTGCCTGAACCATCCACGAAGGTCTTGGAATACTCCAAACGAACGGGAAGACCAACTCCTTCTATGTTCATAAGTGACGAGAGAACTTATAATGAATCAACAAACATACTTGGTCCATTTATAGGAGACTTTTTAGCGTGTGAGATAATCGGCAAGCCTGTTATAATGGGACATACGTGCTACGTGTATGGATAAATTAATATTTTTTTTAGACTGTATAATGTTCTCTAGGCGCCACTGAGTTCTATTAGTACCTGACCAAAACGCATGACTCTACTAAAACGGCTGTATGTTCCTGATGTACTACAAGTAATTCATGTTTGGCTCTACTTTTTTATTACGCAGCTTAAGATATATAAATAGAGTAAATATTATCTGCTGAGATATTCCGTTCCTACGGCAGTCCCAAGCCCAGGTCGGACACAAAAATATAAGATTTCCGCTTGAGAGCATTCATTCAAATAATAAAGAAAGGTTTCTGCCGTTACAACAATAAAATTCGGCGGTAAATTCAAAATACAAGAGAACTAGAATACGAAAGCGAGTTGCGTTTTTGCGGACTAATTTTTTGACTGTTTCATTACAACCAAATTCTAATATCTAATTTTCTCAGTAAACGATACATTTTCTTTTTTTCCTCTCCTCGGACAAGTGTGTTGTTAATGCTTTTGAGAAACTAACAGACCCCTGACAGACTCTTAAAATCGAATGTATCTTTGTCCTCTTAAAGAAGCAGCCTATAGTTGCCCACTTACCTATATACTTTTGCACCACATAACGACTCTTCGAACCGATGGACGGATTTACAAGCACTAGAATTTTCTTCAAATTATCCATCAATTGTATGCCACGTCCGCGACACTTATTCGCCGGCTTTACGATCCACAAATTCTGATAACCATCCAACGTGTATTGCGGCCAAAAGTTCTGCAGATGTTCCAACAGTTGTATACTCAATTTTACCGTATACTCAGGTGCGCGTGTTGGTTCTGTAAATATTTTCGCTTCCTCCGTGACGACCTGTTGATGTTGATGGAAAAATACATCCCACTCGTGTTCCCAAACACGTGATAGCTCATCCAAATCGATATCTTTGTGCTGACAACTATCCAAGTAATCGCTGCAACGTTTAATTGCGAAATCTATGCTATTATATGGTACCGTGCCCATGGTGGAGAAAATCGCATCGATACCCTTACGACGGTAGCGATCCACAACGACACGTATGAAGGCAATACAGGCAGTGAGCTTGAAGTTATCCATAAATTCGGCCAGCTCCTCCAAACTCCAAACATTGTAACAACGTGGAAAATACAACTCCGACATACCCTCCTCATAGAACCAATGGAAGTCCTTCAATTGTGCACATAAACCCTCCTTCGAGGTGAATGGCGCACGGTGAAACTTATTAATAATCATACCGGGATTTTTAGCTTGATCTATATAATCACATTTCTCTTTGCGATTCGTCCACAAAAAGTCGATGGGCATGTGTTCGAGAAAGCGCGACATAATGTTACGTTCACACTTGGCAATATACTGACGACGCGTTTCGCCCGGCTTGCGCTTGGGCAAACCTTGCGCCAAATCATCGTATGTCACTTGACACACACCCGTTGGTATTTGTTTGCGATGCACGTCTAATTTTTCAATCCAACCGCGTGCCACAAGCGCATTGCGTACGGAATGAAAGGAGCCGCGTATGGTGAAGGTTTTATTCTGCTTGACCGCCTCTTGTGCGCGGCGGCGTAACTCATTTAGTCGGTCGGTTGTAATCCAAGTGCGACGATTACAGTAATTGCTGGGCGGTGCGCTGGGTATTATCTCCTTACCGGTAGCGGTAGTGATTGTGGCAGTTAACGGCTTGGTAGCTGTGCTGAGAGAGGCTGTGGCTGTGGCTGAAGCAGTGACTGTTAAGCTGGCTATAGTCGTGGCACTGGTTGTAAAGACTGTGCTAGTCTCTACATGCGTTGTGGTCTTGGTAGTTGTCACTTCAACGGAAGCAGAGTCAGTTGATTTCGCTTCCGCTAGTTTCGTTGGCTGCACTGACGCTGATACGTCTCCCAACTTTCCAACTGCTGGTGCTTGTTGCTTCTCATTAGCGGTTTCATTCTTGTGATTCTCGTTGGCATTTTCATCGGATTTCTCATGCATTGCTTGATACGCACGCCTCCTCCTGCGTTAGTAAGCCAACCAACCGGGACCGCAATGCCGTTTACGCGTTCCGCGCGCTCCAAAAATCGATGACTACTAAATTATGCGATTTGTATCGGAATGAATTGAAGTCTGACATACCGTCGTCGTCGGGCACATGGTAAGCGCGCATAATGTAGAGCAAGTTGTCTACTTGTTGCCATGGCGTCCACAACAAATCAGGTGGCTTAAGTTTATTAGAGCAACGATTTAATAAAATTTGGTATGGAGTCTACTGTCTGCTGTGGGCGTGTTTCACAAAAATCACAGGCATGTAAAATGTATGTATCTATGTGTAGTGTCAAAGCGTAGCGCCGTGGATTGCTAGTAGGACGCAAATTTGCGAAAGTGGAGTTGGCAACCTAGTTTTTGAGGTTCACAAGGATTTACTAAGAAAGCATTGCGCATAGTTCGGCATTACTTCAGTTGTTGCTATTGTTGCTGTTGTACTTGGTCGCGCTTCGCAAGTTTTATTTGTTTGTTAAGCATTTTATCCATGCCGCTCATGTGCTCTTCGCCGCTTGATTTCTGGGTGAAGGTGCAAAGTTATGCTATAAAATTATGAACTTCTCCTTGTTTTGTACCTCGAGTATAAGCTTATTTTATTTGCATTTAAACTAGTTAAGATGATAAAATCAAATTAGCAATTATTGTATAAGTATTTTATCACAAAATCTGTAATTGTTGTCGTGTATGTTGGTATGCTTGAAAGGTGGTATTTTCTGCATTTAAAATTAAAGTGGTGGGTGAATTTAGAGTTTTGACCGCATTTTCTCAATGAAATTAACGATTTTTTTATAGCATATAAATAAATATTACTTATTGAAACTTTGGGAGTGATTTATTCTTATATCTAACGAGCTACATCTTCTGATTTTCAAAGAATCGGTTGTTTCGCCTATAAAGGGTGTTCCATTTCGATTTTACTATCTTTTTTTTTTTTATTTAAAAACAGAAAAACTTTCAATTTAATAGAAAATGCTTATTATTATTCGAAAGAAAATTTTTTGGCATTTATTTTTTGAATATTATCTCTTTCAAATGTTGGCCGCGGCTACGTCTGAGTTGGTCCATCCATTGAGTAAAATTTTCGACTGGCAACGGGCGAATGACAGGCGTGATGTTTTTCGTACCAGGCCTGAATCGAATTGGGATTGTTTGCATAGAATTGAGGCTTTTCATATCCTCACAGCAAAAGTCTAACGGTGTGATATCACACGATCTTGGTGGCCAATTGATTGGTCCAAAACGTGAAATTATCTGCTTCCCGAAGTGTTTGTCAATAAATCCATTGAGTTATGTGATGTCTTATTGAAATCAAATGCCGTTGAGAACAGGAACATCGATTTCAGGCAACAAATAGTCGGTTATCATGGTACGGTTACGTTCTCACCGGCTTCATTTTTGAAAAAATGGGGACCGATGACTCCACTTCCCAGTTATTGAAGTTGCTTTTCGTCCCAAATGCGGCAATTTCTCTTGTTTACATACCCCTTGAGGGTCGGTCGTCTTGGAACTTTTCAAAAGTCCATAGTGCGAAGCGATGTCACGTGGAAAAGTCGAGCTGATTCAGTTCTTGCACAAGCTGTATTTTATCTGGTTTCAATTTAAGATCTGGACGTAAAATGCGCCAAGTCGTTCCATAAGTCAGTCCGAGTTGCTGCGCGACGGTGCCGAATCGACTCTCCACGGTCTTTGTGTACACTATTAGCCATGGCAGCTATGCATATTTTTTCTTCACTGCGTGCTAGGTATTTCGAAAAAGCGTATTGAAAAAAGTACCTTTACTTGGATCAATTTGAAGTTGAACTGGAAAAGGGGTTCAGAGATCTGAATTTTGTATAGGAATTTTTTAACTTAGCGAAATCGGCTTCCACATTTTTGACGCGTTTTTTCTAGAAACTGTGCTTTTTAGAGTTAGTGAGCAAAATATCTCCAGAACTGCTGGACCGATGAAATTTGTACACAACCTTTTTTAATACCTTTGTCAAGTAATGTTTGTAAAAGTAAGAATTTAAATTTTTTAGCCATTCTAAAGTATAAACGAATAAATTCTCTAGTAGGAAGCCTCGCCGTTAGACTTGTTTTTCTTAGAGGTTCTCCTGGAAATCGGCTATGGCATCCAGGGTATCCAAAATTTTTCAAAATAATTAAAATTTTATAAAAGAACATTCAATTCTGCGAGAGAACGGAATGGCTTTGGGGTGGTGCTAAGAGAAACGTTAATAGTGGAAACTAGCAGGTTGGTGTTGGAATATAAGCCCATAATGGTGTATACGCCTGATTGAGGCCGCTCGAAAAGACTACACCTACTCAAAAACTTGAGTATGTCCAAAGAGCGGCTCTCATCGGCATCTCCAGAGTACTACGATTTACATGAACAATGGCATTTAATGCCATTTTAATATTTCCGACAGGTATATGGCTGCGAAGTGTGCTCTAACGCTCAGGGAAGCTGGGTATATGAAAGTGATTTGAGGAGGAATTTTCTGTAAAGAGCTCTCCGTCAAACATAGATTTAGGCTACCGGACCATTGTAGTGTAATTATGGCAAATTTGCCCCTAAAAATCGCTGGCCGGTTTTAGTCCCATAGTTTCTTAGGCAAAGTTGTTCAGAATGATCCGCAGAACATTTCTCGCATGCGCGATTTTTCTTTTTTTTTTTTTTTTTTGTTTTTTTTATATTGAACCACTTTTTTTTTTTTTGAACTTTTCTGAACTTTTTTTCATTACAAATTTTATGAAGAAAGNGTTGTTCAGAATGATCCGCAGAACATTTCTCGCATGCGCGTTTTTTCTTTTTTTTTTTTTTTTTTGGTTCACTGCAAATCGAACCACTCTAATAATGTTTGAACTTTTCGGAACTTTTTTTCATTACAAATTTTATGAAGAAAGATTTTTTAATATTTTACAAAAATTTTTGAATTAAAAAAATAAGTGTTTGTTCCTATCCCTACGTTTCTCCTGACATCTGTGTCGAAAAAAATATATCCAGCCTAGCCTAAGGTGGGGAACCTCACCAAAAAAGTGTTCGTACTGTGCATATTCAAACTTTTAACCCTTGCATTACCTATATGAATTTTCTACTGGAGATTTAAAATTTGAACCCACATATGTACTACCTACATATTATATAACCATATGATTTTATATGTATACACATATTTCGTGATATACAACTGTAAATAATTACGAGATTTCCATAATTACCACAATTAAAATAATTACACTGCATTCGTCATCTACCTTATAACCAACCTTGTGCGCACGACACACTTAAAAGAGTGTTTAAAAAATGAGGACGTGCGTGCGGGATATGACTTTTATTTTCATTGTAAGGCTAAGTACATAGTAAAGCGCGAAGCTACGACGAAGGAAACAAGAAAATAATAGGGATAAAGATCGTATTTCAAATTTTTTGTGATCAAAAAATTCGTTCGCTATCTGCTAGTGAAAATGTTGAAAAAATCGTGTATGGAGAAATATTGGCCCTTACTTTTGGTACTGTATTAAAAAATAAAGCTTTGTTTTTGCGATAATACTCACCTCCAGTAACGGGTAATTTTGAGAGGCGTCAATAACTGGTTTTAAATGCGGCAAACCTTTTTCGAAGTTGGTCTTTTTAATAGTAGTTCTTGATTTATATTCAATTACGTTTGCCATTTAGTAATAAACAGCCTTACTTCGGGAAAAAGTTTGCAAACCGTGGAAATTTATTACTATAATGATGTTCTGATTTTAAATTTTAAGAAAAGTTGCGGCGCTAACAAAAGACTACAAGACCGTAGCACACTCTTGTAGAACCCCACTTCTCCATCCTGCTGAATGGCAGTGAAAGCATAACCCGAGGAGGGGGTGAATCCGATGACTATGGAGCGGACGTTTCATTACCTGACCATGAAGAAGTTCGAATAGCGATTACTCGTCTGAGGAACAACAATGTGGCCGGGGCCTATGGATTGAGGGCAGAGTTATTAAAATACAACGGCGAAGAACTGATAAGGAGACAGCATCATCTCTCATTGAAATTTGTGCCAATTTGCGCCAACTACCGTGAGATAAGCGTCCTCAACATCGCAAGCCGCTCGATACCAAACGAGGCGACTACCTACCATATGACTTCTTCAATCTATTCCAGGAGAAAATAATTCGGGCTGCAGATCTGAATAGAGAAGGTACAATCTTCTATAAAAGTGTATAGCTGTTGGCGCCCGTCATTGGTATGGATATCATTGACTTCAACAATCACGCCCTTAGTCCTGCTTTCTCTAGACTGGATAAGGAAGCGAACCAAATAGGTCTGGTAGTGATTGACGGCAATGCGAATCATTTCTTGTCATCAAACAAATCATCATCGCACTCGCGACGTATAGAAGAAGAATAATTTTTGGTTCATATTTCTTCAAAAATAAAGGCAGCCATAGTATTACAGGCAATTCTAATCGCTATAGTTCCTAGATTAATGACTTCTGCCATGCCTGAATTGTTGAAACATTTATCGAAAGTTTAATCAGTTTGTACCCCAACGAAGTTTTATGAACAGTTTCCGATCATTTCGTGATGATGATTGTAATCGATTATATGAAAGCCCAAAGCAGGTAGGGACTTATTCTCAACTATTTAAATATTTAAAACATTTAAGAAATTATTCTATCAAGCTTTGACGAACTTTCAAAATTTTAAAAAGTTCACACAAGTATTACTTAATTTCGGGAAGAATTATTTTTCTTTGCCTCAGTTACTTCCACCCAGGAATTCATAAATCTTTTAGATATGTGTATATGTATTTATATAAAACATTTATTGAGTGTTACTAAGACATGAAGTGGGCTGATGGAAATAGCCTTTACAAAATATTTATTAAAGCAAAAATTAGCAATTGCCTTTCACGCATTAGTAGGCGCTTCCGAGAAACAACAATTCTGTGTTCGCTTGATTTAGGCGGCATTTTTCAGACTAAA